CCTCTGGTGAAACATAGATATTGGTTTCTAAAAACTCACTAATAGAATACATAGATTCCAAGGCAATACTAAAGAACAGTGTGTATTCTGAGATCATCAGTCATGAAAGATTTTCTGGAAAATATACTGTCCTGATGTAAACAAAACAAAAAAAAAAAACAACAGTCCACCCCTGGAGTGCCTGGGTGGCTCAGCGGGTTAGGTGTCCAAATCATAATCTCACCTCAGGTCTTGATCTCAGAGTCATGAGTTTGAGCTCTGTGTTGGGCTGCATGATGGGTGTGGAGCTTACTTTAAAAAAAAGTCCATCCCTTTTAAGCAGGTCATTAATTATGAATTGCCTCCCAGGGCACTAGTTGGAGATGACAGTTGCTGTTTTCTGTTTCATGTCCAAACCAGAGGAAAAATAGAGATGTTTTGTCTTCGTAATACCACCTTCCCTACACCCTAAAATCTTAGGCAGAGATAGACATTAAAAAGATTAGTACACTTCTATTATCACTCCTGGAGATCTGGAGTTTCTCAAGCTGAAAATGAAACAATATAATTCTACTCATTTTCACCAAACTGTCTCTACTCTTGCCAAGCAAGAGAATACAGCCTCAGTGAGCATGCACTCAGCAGCACACGTCACTGCCATAAATACTTAGAAAAATGCCCAAGTAACTACTTGCTGTTGCTGCCCCAGTATATGTACCACTCCCTCAAAATGAATGTTTGCTCCGACATCTTTGAATTATAAAGCCCCAAGTATCAAGTTCTGCATAAGGGAAACAGCAGCTCTCTAGATGAACAGTGTGAGTCACAGTGTTTGATGACAATGGCAATTTATCCTTCATATTATACCCAATGCAGAAGGAGGTATATGATGTTCAAGGTGGCAGCAGTGAATAGAGACTACGTCTGGAAGGCCTTCATGTGGTATCAGTTACTGATGGGCTTGAATCTCAGTCTGTTTAACATGAAAGCCCAGGATAGGGAAGTGTACACCACCAAGTCTGAGTGATAGCAGTCTAGCCAATCACAGACTTTAAGGTTACAGTCAAGGACACTAAAATGCCACCATGTACTCCATGTTCAGACTATAATTTGTTGCTGGTCAGTTGTTTCTTTAACTTCTACTGACTACATTTTGACAGGCCCCAGGAAGGATTTTAGACTCTTGCCTTAGCATCTACCTCATCATTACTATCGTCTCAGTATTCTGCTATTTTGTCTGTCTGTTCCTTTTCATGGTGAATGTTCAAATAAGTACCCCAGTGTGATAATACATATTAATAATTTTATTTTCTCATTTTCAAACATTTCCTTATATATACTTAGCACATTTAAATTGATTATACTTTGTATTTTGTAGTCAGATTCTCAGGTTATGAAAACATATAAAACATATACATATATGCATATTATGTATCTGTAGGAGAGATCATACATTGGATTGGTCAGAATCCAATATATACTCAAAGCAGGCTAGAACCTTTGGCAATGTGTGGTCAAGAATTCTTTCAAGGGAACAGTTTGTACTAATAGACTATGATGATTCTCATAAAACAAAAAATGCCAAGATTCTTATGCAGGTGTCCCTTTCCAAACCATTAATTGCATATTCATTCTGGGGAAAGCAAGTATCATCTTAATTTCCTCTTCTTGAGTCACCCTTATTTTGAAATCCTGCTTGCTTGAGCTTTGTGAAATATATATCTTGATAGATTATGGAAAACTTAGTTGTTTGTATCCTTAATAGAGTCAAAAGCAAACTATTTAAGTGTTACCACAGGCCCACAATTTCCACCTTAAGATAAGTGCCAGAATACTCCCTATGAAATGAATTAAAAATTTTTGATTATTATAATATTAATAAAAACATAATCATGAAAGGAAGAAAATAATATCAAAATACAAGTAGGCATTTATTGCCCACCATTTTTTTACCCAATTACAAAAGACAAATGAGAGTTTAAAAAAGTTTTATGCCATTATTACATTTAATAAATCCTCCATTCCAGTTTTCTGGAAATACAGAGGATAGAGGAACAGGTTAAATGACACCACAAGGAAAAGATCAGACAAATTCATAATGTAGAATGTTGTACAACACAACAGGTCTAGATACTTTAAAGAATTCACTATTATAGGGCAGCCTGGGTGGCTCAGTGGCTTAATGCCCCCTTCAGCCCAGGGCATGATCCTGGAGACTCGGGATGGAGTCCCGTGTTGGGCTTCCTGTGTGAGCCTGTTTCTCCCTCTGCCTGTGTCTCTGCCTCTCTCTGTGTGTCTCTCATAAATAAAATATTTTTTTCTTTAAAGAATTCAGTATTATAAAAGACGGGACTGTTCTAGAATAAATAGATGAATACCTAATACAATCATGCAACTTGGTTAAAAAATTAATTTCCTAAGACATTATTTATAACAAGTGGTTAAAAAGTGCATTTGTAAAAGGAACTCAGGAGTGCATATGAATTCTTATCAAAATTGAAGAAAATTGAGGAAGAATAATGGAAAAATAATGAGATGGAATAGGGACTGGATTTTTAGATAATATTATGTAATCACTGTTAATTTTGTTAAGTCTGCTAGTAGGATCATGACTATGTAGGATAATGTCCTTATACCTAGGAGATGCCTGATGAACAATTTAGAGGTGAAGTGTTATGATATCTTCAAAGTCACTTTCAAATGGCTCAGCAAATAATGGGTATTTGTGTATAGAATAAACAAATATATAGATAGAATAAATATGGTGAGAAATAAGTTTTAAATTTAGATGGAGGGTAGAGTTATGTTTGTATAATTTTCTAACCTTTCTATACATTTGAAACATTTCTCATACAAATATTTTTTTTCAGAGTGAGAGAGAGTGCATAAGTGGGGGAGAGAGACAAAGGGAAAGGGAGAGAGAAAACTTAAGCAGCCTTCACATCCAGCATGGAGCCTGACAGGGGTCTCCATTCGCTCTGAGATCACGACCTGAACCTAAATCAAGAGTCAGAAACAATCAACTGAGCCACCCAGGTGCCCCCAAATATTTAATAGACTTAATTTTTTAGACCAGTTTTAGATTTTGCAGAAAATTGAGCAAATAGTATAAAGAGTTACCATATACCCACTCTCTTGTGCTCATAGTGTTCCCTAGTATTAACATCTTGCATTAGTGTGGTACATTTATTACAATTAATGAACCAATATTGATCCATTATTATTATTTTTTTAAGATTTTTTATTTATTCATGATAGACATAGAGAGAGAGAGGGAGAGACACAGGCAGAGGGAGAAGTAGGCTTCATGCAGGGAGCCTGACATGGGACTCGATCCCCGATCCCAGGACTCCAGGGTCACGCCCTGGGCCAGAGGCAGGTGCTAAACCGCTGAGCCACCCAGGGATCCCCTGATCCATTATTATTAACTAGGGTCTGTCATTTATATTACAATTCATTCTTTGTGTTTTATGGATTTTGACAAATGCATAATGTCATGTATCCACCATTATGGTATCATAAAGAAAAGTTTCAATACCTCTCAGATCTCCTGTGTTTTACCTCTTAATTCACCTCTTTCCAACTGGCAATTACTAATCTTCTTAGTGTATCTTTACTTTTGCCTTTTCCAGAATGTCATGTAGTTGCAGTAGTGGAGTATGTGTCTTTCCAGACTGATTTCTTTCACTAAGCAACATGCACTTAAATTTCCTCCATGTCTTTTTTTGGTTGAAACTCACTTCTTTTTATTAAATATTTTAAATACAAAAAAAACTTTAAACACCTAACAACAGATTGCAACATATATATCTTGTTTGTCACCTGATTTAACAAATTATCTCTAAAAAGACATTTTTAAAAGATAACAGGAAAATTCAATACTTAATGAATCTTTGATATTATGAAATTATTAGCATATCTAGATGTGATAACTGATTTGAAGTTATACAAAAAATGCTCTTACCTGTTAGAAAAGAAAAAGGAAAACATTGATACATTCACATGAATAAATTTTTTAGCTACTGTTGGAGATTTTCATGTGGCTCAAAATGTGTCAAATTTCAGGGATATGTGAAGTGAGTGGTACAAGAGAAATATGAGCAAGAACAATATTTGTTATTTGAATGCTGTGCTTTTCCTGAGTTTATATAGTTTTTGGTTTCTTTTGAGTGTGAGGATGGTAACCTAACCATTACCCAGACGCACACCTGCCCAACCTCTAAATAAAAAATGGGAACTGCCTACTCAAAGCAGTGTACCAGTTGATATGTACCAATTTTATTTTATTTATTTTTATTTTATTTTTATTATTTTATTTTTATATTTATTTTTAAAAGTAATTTATTTATTCATGAGACACACACACACACACACAGAGGCAGAGACACAGGCAGAGGGAGAAGCAGGCTCCATGCAGGGAACCCGATGTGGGACCCGATTCTGGATCTCTAGGACCATGCCCTGGAACGAAGGCGGCGCTAAACCGCTGAGCCATGGGGGCTACCCTGTTTACCAATTTTTTTTAAACTTTTTAAAAAAATTTTTATTTATTTATGATAGAGAGAGAGAGAGGGAGGGAGGCAGAGACACAGGCAGAGGGAGAAGCAGGCTCCATGCACCGGGAGCCCGACGTGGGATTTGATCCCGGGTCTCCAGGATCGCACCCTGGGCCAAAGGCAGGCGCTAAACCGCTGTGCCACCCAGGGATCCCCAATTTTTTAAAAGCGCCTTCTATCTGTGAGAAAACTGGAATGGAAATTGGTCAATGCTTGCCATGGTCATTAAGGATGCAATAAAAAAAGTCTTTGGAAACGCAGATAAGACTTTGAGACACTACATGAAAATATTCCGTTCGGATTGCCATCTGTCTGAAAGAACGGATTAGGATTTTCTTAATGTTTTGGGTAAAATAAACCCTCGGAAAGGACGCGGGGTGGCGCTGCAGCATTAAAAGTAGAACGAAGAAACCTTCCAGCCAGGCTCTGCTGAAGAAACCGGCAGGAAGGGGAGGCTTTCTAAGGTGGTTGCTCGGGAAATCAGGATCCTATGCGTCTCCACTTATCCCAGTAACTGCGAGATAGAAGGAGATAGAATTGGCAACAACGCAAGGCGACATGGGGTCATGTTTGCTGGGAGACCGGAAGCTGATGGAAGCTGGAGATGGAAAAGAACAATTTCTGAAACAAAGGCAAGTCTTGATATTCTTTGTTTTGCTGGGCGTAGCTCAGGCTGCTTCGGAGCCTAGGCACTACTCAGTGGCTGAGGAAATGGAAAGCGGCTCCTTTGTGGCCAATTTGTTAAAAGATCTGGGATTGGAGGTAAATGAACTAGCTGAACGGGGGGCTCAGGTGGTTTCGAAAGGGAAAAAAATGCGCTTGCAGCTTGATAGGCAGACAGGGGATTTGTTGTTAAATGAGAAACTGGACCGAGAGGAGCTGTGTGGCCTTGTCGAGCCATGTGTGCTACCTTTCCAGGTGTTATTGGAAAATCCCTTGCAGTTTTTTCAGGCTGAGCTACGGGTTAGAGATATAAATGATCATTCCCCGGTTTTCCTAGACAAAGAAATAATTTTGAAAATTTCAGAAAGTATCAATCCCGGAACTACTTTCCTAATAGAACGTGCCCAGGACTTAGATGTAGGAAGCAATAGTCTCCAAAGTTACACTCTCAGCCCCAATTCCCACTTCCATCTTAATTTACAAGACAGTCCCGAGGGCATATTACCACAGCTGGTGCTGGACAAAGCTCTGGATCGCGAGGAACGGGCTGAGATCAGGTTAACTCTCACAGCGCTGGATGGCGGGCCTCCACCCAGATCTGGCACTGCCCTGGTTCGCATCGAAGTTTTAGATAGCAATGATAATGCCCCCGAGTTTACAAAGCTGTTCTATGAGGTGCAAGTCCTGGAAGACAGTCCCATTGGATTCCAAGTTGCCATGGTCTCTGCTAGAGATCTGGACATTGGAACCAATGGAGAAATATCTTACGTATTTTCCCAAGCCTCTGAAGAGATCCGCAAAACTTTTCAAATAAATGCCACGTCAGGAGAACTCTTTTTAACGCAGAAACTGGATTTCGAATCCATTCAGACTTATACATTAAATATTCAGGCAACAGACGGTGGTGGACTTTCTGGAAGTTGCGTGGTGTTTGTCCAAGTGATGGATTTGAATGACAACCCTCCGGAACTGACTATGTCAACATTTATCGATCACATCCCAGAAAACTTGCAGGAGACCATAACTGCTGTATTCAGCGTTTCAGATCCTGACTCGGGAGACAATGGAAGAATGGTTTGTTCCATTCAAGATGATCTTCCTTTCTTGCTTAAACCTTCTGTTGAGAATTTTTACACACTAGTGTCAAAAGGAGCGCTGGACAGAGAGAGCCAGGCGGAGTACAACATCACCATCACCGTCAGTGACTTGGGGACCCCCAGGCTGAAGACCCAGCACAACATCACCGTGACGGTCTCCGACGTCAACGACAACGCCCCCGCCTTCAGCCAGACCACCTACACCCTGCGCGTCCGCGAGAACAACAGCCCCGCCCTGCACATCGGCACCGTGAGCGCCACCGACAGGGACGCGGGCGCCAACGCCCAGGTCACCTACTCGCTGCTGCCGCCCCGGGACCCGCACCTGCCGCTCGCCTCGCTGGTGTCCATCAACGCGGACAACGGGCAGCTGTTCGCGCTCAGGTCCCTGGATTACGAGGCGCTGCAGGCCTTCGAGGTCCGCGTGGGCGCGGCCGACCGCGGCTCGCCCGCGCTGAGCAGCCAGGCGCTGGTGCGCGTGCTGGTGCTGGACGACAACGACAACGCGCCCTTCGTGCTGTACCCGCTGCAGAACGGCTCTGCGCCCTGCACCGAGCTGGTGCCGCGGGCGGCCGAGGCGGGCTACCTGGTGACCAAGGTGGTGGCGGTGGACGGCGACGCGGGCCAGAACGCCTGGCTGTCGTTCCAGCTGCTCAAGGCCACGGAGCCCGGGCTGTTCGGCGTGTGGGCGCACAACGGCGAGGTGCGCACGGCCCGGCTGCTGAGCGAGCGCGACGCGGTCAAGCACAGGCTGCTGGTGCTGGTCAAGGACAATGGCGAGCCGCCGCTGTCGGCCAGCGTCACGCTGCACGTGCTGCTGGTGGACGGCTTCTCGCAGCCCTACCTGCCGCTGCCGGACGTGGCGGCGGCCGAGGCCCGGGCCGACCCGCTCACCGTCTACCTGGTCATCGCCTTGGCGTCCGTGTCGTCGCTCTTCCTGTGCTCGGCGCTGGCGTTCGTGGCGGTGCGGCTGTGCAGGAGGAGCGGGGCGGCGTCGGGGGGTGGCTGCGCGGTGCCCGAGGGCCACTTTCCGGGCCACCTGGTGGACGTCAGCGGCGCGGGGACCCTGTCCCAGAGCTACCAGTACGAGGTGTGTCTGACGGGAGGGACTGGGACCAGCGAGTTCAAGTTCCTCAAGCCGATTGTGCCCAATTTCCTTGGTCTGGGTGAGGAGAGGGTTAGTGAAGCAAACCCGTTTCAGGGATAGCTTTGAATAAAATTAAGTATTAATTAATAAGAGTCTACTGAGCCTAGTCTCAATTAATTTGTAGAAAATCCTTTTTACTGCCTTGCCTGTAAGGTTCCTTTTATTTCCTAAGTAGCTACCCTATTCCAATTTAGTGCACGTTACTGGTGTTTCTAAAGGGGTTCGTTTGTGTTATAGGAATGCAAATTTTCTTTGTTTTCTTTTTGTTGATTAGTCTCCCTGTACTTAATTCAACTTGAATTATGAAAGTATATTTTGTATTTTCAGAAGTTTTTATTCTTTAAGTCAGAGCGCCTTTTTCCAAACTCACCTTCCATAGTTCTTATGTAATTTTGCAGAATTTAAAATTTGAAACATTTTAATATTTATTCTTTTTCCAACCCAGGATCTTTGTGTTTGTATATTCTTTTAGACTGGTATAACTAGTATTACTGCTATTCTGTTAACCCACATTGGCTAAAACCATTAAGCTATGCATATTCATTAATAACAACGCAGTCTCTCACAGTTTTCTAAATATGTACTTCCTTAAAGTGTTCATAAATGAAAATTAAGATTCATTAGAGATTGTGACAACCTTGACTGTTGGATTGTACAAACCATTTACATCAAAAGTACTCAATAAATCAACCACTAATGTTCTTTAATGTAGTTAAATAAATAACATGTGTCTAGTTGTTTTCAAAGCCATGTAATTCTTCATGCTTTCTATTAAATTTTTTTCTTTAAATCTCTGTTCATTTCAATTCCCATTTAAAAATACCAGTTTTAGCAATTACAAACCACCTGTTAACTTTGAGCACATCCTTAATACCCAAAAGATTTGAGGAAATAAATCCAAGTCTTTGTCCTTGACCAAATCTTAAAAACTTCAAATGTAGTTTGGCATTGCATTTTCCAAAAATTTTGGAGCATTTATGATTCCATTGGAAATAAGCCTGTGGGGAAAAGATTTATTGTAGTCTGGCCATTTTTTTTGCACTACCTCTGTTTTTCCCTTTTTAGTTTCCTAGGCTTTTCAGAGCATTTTTCTTTTTAGGTTCTTGAATATATTTCTCAATAACTCCCCATTTATTGTATGATTAGCACAATAATTGGAAGGTTATAGGTTCTTAATAACATTTTTGAATAAATTATTAAGGAAGAAGTGTCTTTATTTCACCCTGTGATATTTTGATATTTAAAGATACTAAGATACTTGTAGAACAAAATTTTGCTGGAATTCAGTGCTCTCTGATAAATAAGGAATTATATATATAATTTTTGGTTGTTAATTGAACTAATCACTGTTATTGAAAGATTATGGAGTTATCAGTTCCTGGTGTTTCTTTCCTTCAATGTATTTTTCCTTTATGTCTTCCTGCTTAATTTGAGTCTCCTCTCCTGCCTTCTAGCATAAGGAATATATATGGGAAATTGTGTTTTTTATTTTATAATTTAAATTTCCTTGTATAATTTCCTTTTTTAAAGGATTTTATTTATTTATTCATGAGAGACAGAGAGAGAGGCAGAGACATAGGCAGAGGAAGAAGCAGGCTCCACGCAAAGAGCCCTATATGGGACTGGATCCCAGGACTCCAGGATCACGCCCTGAGCCAAAGGCAGATGCTTAACCACTGAGCCACTTAGGCATCCCTTTCTTTTTTTTTTAATTTTTATTTATTTATGATAGTCACAGAGAGATAGAGATAGAGAGGCAGAGACATAGGCAGAGGGAGAAGCAGGTTCCATGCACCGGGAGCCCGACGTGGGATTCAATCCCGGGTCTCCAGGATCGCGCCCTGGGCCAAAGGCAAGCGCCAAACCGCTGCGCCACCCAGGGATCCCTAGGCATCCCTGTCGTATGATTTCCTAAATGATTCATCCAACTTTCTTTATTTCTTGAAATTCAATTTCAGATCCATACATTAAGACATATTTTTAATTCTTAATATTCTTCAGTTTATGTTTAAATTCTTACATAATTAATGTTTATTTGATGAGTTATCTATTAAAATTATAATATGAATTTTTTAAATCTATTTTTTTCTTTACGTTTTTAAAAATTTATTTATTTTTAATTTTTTTTGGTGTTCAATTTGCCAACATATAGAATAACACCCAGTGCTCATCCCATCAAGTGCCCCCTCAGTGCCCGTCACCCAGTCACCCCCACCCCCTACCCACCTCCCTTTCTACCACCCCTAGTTCGTTTCCCAGAGTTAGGAGTCTCTCATGTTCTGTCTCCCTTTCTTATATTTCCCACTCATTTTTCTCCTTTCCCCTTTATTCCCTTTCCCTATTTTTTATATTCTACAAATGAATGAGACCATATAATGTTTGTCCTCCGATTGATTTATTTCACTCAGCATAATACCCTCCAGTTCCATCCACATTGAAGCAAATGGTGGGTATTTGTCGTTTGTAATGGCTGAGTAATATTCCATTGTATACATAGACCATATCTTCTTTATCCATTCATCTTTCGATGGACACCGAGGCTCCTTCCACAGTTTGGCTATTGTGGACATTGCTGCTATAAACATCGGGGTGCAGGTGTCCCGGCGTTTCATTGCATCTGTATCTTTGGGGTAAATCCCCAGCAGTACAATTGCTGGGTCGTAGGGCAGGTCTATTTTTAACTCTTTGAGGAACCTCCACACAGTTTTCCAGAGTGGCTGCACCAGTTCACATTCCCACCAACAATGCAGGGGGGTTCCCCTTTCTCCACATCCTCTCCAAATTTGTGGTTTCCTGCTTTGTTAATTTCCCCATTCTCTCTGGTGTGAGGTGGTATCTCATTGTGGTTTTGATTTGTATTTCCCTGATGGCAAGTGATGCAGAGCATTTTCTCATGTGCATATTGGCCATGTCTATGTCTTCCTCTGTGAGATTTCTCTTCATGTCTTTTGCCCATTTCATGATTGGATTGTTTGTTTCTTTGCTGTTGAGTTTAATAAGTTCTTTATAGATCTTGGAAACTAGCCCTTTATCTGATAGTCATTTGCGAATATCTTCTCCCATTCTGTAGGTTGTCTTTGAGTTTTGTTGACGGTATCTTTTGCTTTGCAAAAGCTTCTTATCTTGATGAAGTCCCAATAATTCATTTTTGCTTTTGTTTCTCTTGCCTTCATGGATGAATCTTGCAAGAAGTTACTGTGGCCAAGTTCAAAAAGGGTGTTGCCTGTGTTCTTCTCTAGGATTTTGATGGAATTTTAAAGGTGTCCTTTTGAGATTAGCAGTATAGAGCACTGCTAATAGTTGGATCTTGGATAAGTCACATAATTTCTGTTCCCCAAAAATGCTTATAGCAGCTATTTCTATAACTTGAAATTATTATCAAATAAGATAATATAAATATATAGAAGTTATGATTGCTCTTATTTTGATATTACTAATATTAAGAGTAATCCTAATTATTCTTCATGTATATTCCTGATAATTTGAAGATGCTAGATTGAACACTTGGTATTTGAGTTGTTTCATTTCTCTGCCTAAAACTTTGCAATATCTTTCTTTCATTCTTAGAATAAAATCCAAGCACCTGTTATTTGCCAACAGTTTCTCTCTCCATCCTTTCTTCCTACTTACTCTTGAGACATTAAGTTTTGGATACACTGTCCTTTTATTATCTAGAATACTTATACTGTTTCAGGGCTTTTATATATCAGGTTTTCATATATGTATTCTTCCCATTTTACAGTCTTAGCCTGTAAGATTTAGCCTTTAAAACAAACATCTTATCCTTCATCTTCCAAATTAAATGGCACAACCTTGATGAAACTTTTTCACTCCTCACCCATTGAGTTAGGTCCTATTATATACTTTCAGTTTATTCAGTACAGTTACTCCATAGCACTTTTTAAAAAAGATTTATTTATTTATTTATGAGAGAAACACAGAGAGAGAGAGGCAGAGACACAGGCAGAGGGAGAAGCAGGCTCCATGCCCGGAGCCCGACACTGGACCGATCCCAGGACTCCAGGACCCCGCTCCCGGCCAAAGGCAGGCGCTAAACCGCTGAGCCACCCAGGGATCCCCTACATAGCACTTTTTTTAAAATTGATTTTCAATTTGCCAAAAATATGGTATAATACTCAGTGCTCATCCCATCAAGTGCCCTCCGCAGTTTTCACAGTTGTTTGGACATATAAAGTCTGTCCATCCCATTAGATGGAAAACTAAGATATATAGACTTAGGGTGTCTGGGTGGCTCAGTGGTTAAGCATCTGCCTTTGGCTCAGGGCATGATCCTGGAGTCCTGGGATCCAGTCCCATATAGGGCTCTTTGCGTGGAGCCTGCTTCTCCCTCTGCCTATGTCTCTGCCTCTCTCTCTATGAATAAATAAAATCTTTAAAAAAAGATATATAGACATGATCTGTCTTGTTACCACTATATGCCTGACTTCTACAAACTTAACAAATATGTGTTTTCACAGATAAAATACAATTATACAGATGAAACAGTTAATATAGATGAAACCAGTAATTGTAAAATTACTGTGAAATAAGAAGAGGACAAATATCGATGTTCCTTGAATGATTGTGAAGATTTGACCAGAATTAGGCATTTGTGGCCTATTACATGATCTACTGTAATTTTTCATCACCTTTTCATAGAATTTTCCCCGATTATAAATGCAACTCATGCACATTTTACAAAATCTAGAAAATAAGAGAAAAACACAAGTAGGCTATGAAGCACATCATTTAGAGCAAAATCTTTTAAAATTTATGTGTGATAATTACAGAAGGGCAGGAAGAGTTGCCCTAGCAGCGAAATCTATAAATCCAGCAAAAACATGTAAATGAGGACTCTACCGGAGACAGTGGTTGTTTTTTTAAGGGCACATTTCATTTTCCCAGGTTCTGTTTGCTTAACTCATATAACACAAGAACCTCCTTCAGTAGCGTTAAATGGGTTCGATAAGAGGAGTGAATGATTAAAAAATCAAATATAGAAATATATACAATCTTTTAAAAATTATTTATTTATTTATTCATGAAAGACACACAGAGAGAGAGAGAGAGAGGCAGAGACATAGGCAGAGGGAAAAGCAGGCTCCACGCAGGGAGCCCGATGTGGGACCCGATCCCAGGACCCCTCATGAATAAATAAAATCTTGAAACAAAAAAAAATTCAAAACACATACTCTGCTCCAAAACTCCTTCTCTAAGTTTTTAAGTTACCAGCGAACGCTTGGTGGCGCTGTTGACTAAGAAGGCGAATTAACCACCGGCATTGTGCGCAGGCTCTAAGGCACCGATCCGGTTCGGGAAACTAGGGATTGTGAGCCTGGGCAGACTTTTAAGCAAGCAAATATGAGCAAATCTGGAAAGGATTATTCGTAGACATTCTTCCAGGGTTGAAAGGCACAAGACTGCGTTTGTTGGCACTGCCGGAGGCTTAGCTTGACAATATATCCGGGAAGAACATGGCAGAAAGCGCAATGGAGGCCAGAGGCGACAGCTTTCTTAGACAAAGGCAAGTTCTATTTCTCTTTGTTTTTCTGGGTGTGTCTCTGGCTGAGTCTGAGTCAAGACGCTACTCCGTGGTTGAGGAAATGGAGAGGGGCTTTTTAATAGCCAACCTAGCAAAGGATCTAGGGCTAGGGGTGGGGGAACTGGCTGTGAGGGGAGCCCAGGTTGTGTCTAAAGGGAACAGACAGCATATTGAGCTCAACCATCAGAACGGCGATCTGCTCCTGCATGAGAAATTGGACCGGGAAGAGCTATGCGGCCCCACGGAGCCCTGTGTACTGCATTTTCAGATATTACTGCAAAACCCTTTGCAGTTTATTACAAATGAGCTTCAGGTCATAGACGTAAATGACCATTCCCCGGTATTCTTTGAACATGAAATGCAGCTGAAACTCTTAGAAAACACGCCACCAGGGACCATAATTCCTTTGGGAAATGCTGAGGACTTGGATGTGGGAAGAAACAGTCTCCAAAACTACACGATCACTCCTAATTCCCATTTCCACGTTCTCACACGCAGTCGTAGGGATGGAAGAAAGTATCCACAACTAGTGCTGGACAAAGCGCTGGACCGTGAGGAGCAGCCAGAGCTCATTTTGACTCTCACCGCGTTGGATGGTGGCTCTCCACCCCTGTCGGGGATCGCCCAGGTTCACATTGTGGTCTTAGACATAAACGACAACGCCCCAGAATTTACACAGTCACTATATGAGGTTCAAGTTCTAGAGAACAGCCCCATTAACTCTGTTCTTGTCACCGTCTCAGCTTCTGATTTAGATACAGGAAATTTGGGGACAGTTTCATATGCATTTTTTCATGCTTCTGAAGAAATTCGCAAAACTTTTCAGCTAAATCCAATTACTGGTGATATCCAGCTAGTCAAATATTTGAATTATGAGGTTATGAATACCTATGAAGTGGACATAGAAGCCAAGGATGGCGGAGGCCTTTCAGGAAAAACAACAGTAATAGTTCAGGTGGTTGATGTGAACGACAACCCACCAGAACTGACCTTGTCCTCAATAGTCAGCTCTATCCCTGAGAACTCACCAGAGACTGTGGTGGCTGTTTTCAGTGTTTCTGATCCAGACTCCGGAGACAATGGCAGAATTATGTGTTCCATCGAGAGCAATCTCCCTTTCAACCTCAAACCATCAGAAGAGAATTTCTATACCTTGGTAACAAATGGGGCGCTGGACAGAGAGAGCCAGGCGGAGTACAACATCACCATCACCGTCAGTGACTTGGGGACCCCCAGGCTGAAGACCCAGCACAACATCACCGTGACGGTCTCCGACGTCAACGACAACGCCCCCGCCTTCAGCCAGACCACCTACACCCTGCGCGTCCGCGAGAACAACAGCCCCGCCCTGCACATCGGCACCGTGAGCGCCACCGACAGGGACGCGGGCGCCAACGCCCAGGTCACCTACTCGCTGCTGCCGCCCCGGGACCCGCACCTGCGGCTCGCCTCGCTGGTGTCCATCAACGCGGACAACGGGCAGCTGTTCGCGCTCAGGTCCCTGGATTACGAGGCGCTGCAGGCCTTCGAGGTCCGCGTGGGCGCGGCCGACCGCGGCTCGCCCGCGCTGAGCAGCCAGGCGCTGGTGCGCGTGCTGGTGCTGGACGACAACGACAACGCGCCCTTCGTGCTGTACCCGCTGCAGAACGGCTCTGCGCCCTGCACCGAGCTGGTGCCGCGGGCGGCCGAGGCGGGCTACCTGGTGACCAAGGTGGTGGCGGTGGACGGCGACGCGGGCCAGAACGCCTGGCTGTCGTTCCAGCTGCTCAAGGCCACGGAGCCCGGGCTGTTCGGCGTGTGGGCGCACAACGGCGAGGTGCGCACGGCCCGGCTGCTGAGCGAGCGCGACGCGGTCAAGCACAGGCTGCTGGTGCTGGTCAAGGACAATGGCGAGCCGCCGCTGTCGGCCAGCGTCACGCTGCACGTGCTGCTGGTGGACGGCTTCTCGCAGCCCTACCTGCCGCTGCCGGACGTGGCGGCGGCCGAGGCCCGGGCCGACCCGCTCACCGTCTACCTGGTCATCGCCTTGGCGTCCGTGTCGTCGCTCTTCCTGTGCTCGGCGCTGGCGTTCGTGGCGGTGCGGCTGTGCAGGAGGAGCGGGGCGGCGTCGGGGGGTGGCTGCGCGGTGCCCGAGGGCCACTTTCCGGGCCACCTGGTGGACGTCAGCGGCGCGGGGACCCTGTCCCAGAGCTACCAGTACGAGGTGTGTCTGACGGGAGGGACTGGGACCAGCGAGTTCAAGTTCTTGAAGCCTGTTATTCCCAGTGGTCTGTTTCAGGATACTGAGTGAGACTAAAGCAAAGCTCTACTTTTATGGATAGTTTAGGTTTCATTTACACAATAGTAAAAAAAAAAAGTTGTTTGGCTGTGGTTGTTTTCTTTTGAAATCAAGAATCTTTCGTTGATATAACATTTTGCTTATATGTTGATTTTACTTTGTGTTGTTTGTAATCCTTGCATATTCTTTTTTCATCTGCTTTCTGTCCTATAAGGCAGTCTTAATGCCTCCTTCTCTTTTTCTAATAGGTGAGCAAAAATACATTCATTTTGTTTTAATGATTTCAAACAGGTTTACTTTAAGGAACTCATCTTAAATTCTACATCCAAAGAAATGTAGAGTTCCAAACCAGTAATCTTATAATTTACCCTGTTGAATACAGTCACATCTTGTTCTTTACAATATACTTAAAGCAGCTTTGTAGTTAATGAAGTTTGTGGATATACAAAAATGTGTCTTCTTTAAGATGTACCTTCTTTAAGGTACAACATGTTTTTAGGGACATAGTAGTCAAATGAAAGTAATACATTTAGTTTACTTTCTGTTTTGACATTTGCAATTAATATTTAATACTATATTGATTTACATTGACAAAAATGCACACAAAATATAGGCTATGAGGCATATTACTCTGATTTGCTTAGTGTATTCTTATGATGACTGAAGAAAAATAATTAAGCCTAGAGCATTTTGAACAATAGATTGTGCCTTTTCATTTTGCACGAAAATGTTGTTAGTGAGGCATCGGATACAACGACAATTTAGTTTGTAAATTCTGAGATCTAAATGTTATCAATCCAAGAGTCATTTTTTAAAATTTATTCATTTATTTGACAGAGAGAGTGGGGAGAAGGCCAAAGGGAGAAGGAGAGAGAGGGAGAATCTCAAGCAGACTCTGTGCTTAGGAGGGAGCTGGAGGCCCAGCTCCATCTCCGGACCCTGAGATCATAACCTCATCGGAAACCAAGAGTCCTGTGCTCAACCGACTGAGCCACCCAGGCATCCCAAGAGTCATTTTTTTAAAAAATTTCAAGAAAGCACATGCATATATGATTTCTAAATGCTTTACGGTAAATGTGGTGTCCCATCCAATCCTGCTTTTAAAATTAATATCTAGGAGTGCCTGAGTGGCCCAGTCAGTTAAGCCACTGACTGCTGGTTTTAGGTCAGGTCTTGATCTCAGGGTCATGAAATCGAGCCCCACCTCCATGCTCAGAGTCTTCTTGGAGTTCTCTCTTCCTCTCTCTCTGCCTCTCCCCCACTATCTTTCCCTCTCTCAAAATAAATAAATCTTTTAAGAAAAATAATTTTAATACCTACTTGGTATTTAGATGGTGATATATGATATATGATATATATATATGATATATGTATTTTTTGTTTGTTTGTTTACCATCTTGGTTCCCTCCTCCTGATTTCAACCTGATTACTCAGGATTATATATGGTCCTTCTGGGATAAACTTTGTCCATCCACATCAGCATTCACCCCCTATAATGTAAGTAAAAGGTGTATAAGAAGAGGTAGTTCTAAAGAAGAGGTAGTTCTAAAGGAGAGGAATATCATTGTGAAAATCTAAATTAGCTACACCTATGAATAAAATCTAGAAGCAACCAAAACATCACAGTTTATACCTATTTTGGATGAAAAAGAAAAACTTATATTTAAGTGACAAATTAGGGATTCATGGGTGGCTCAGCGGTTCAGCGCCTGCCTTCGGCCCAAGGCGTGATCCTGGAGTCCTGGGATCGAGTCCCACATCGGGCTCCCTGCATGGAGCCTGCTTCTCCCTCTGCCTGTGTCTCTGCCTCTCTCTCTGTGTATCTCTCATGAATAAATAAAATCTTAAAAAAATAAGTGACAAATTATTTAGTCCCCAATTAGAGACGTTGATTAGGAAAAAAAAATCAATTTTCTTCTCAGAGGCATTTTCTCTTCCAGAGAGATAGAACTTTCCAAGAACTGAAAATTGGTGACTAGAAGAGAGTAAAGTGAAGTTTCTCAATGATTTTGAAAATTCCCAAAAGAGAAAAAGAATTTAAGATTGAACTTTCCTTTAATCATACATTAAAGTGTAGTTATAAATGCTGTCATTTTGTACAACTGAGAATCAAATGCATGAGTCCTTAATAATCAGAGGAAAAAGAATATTTCCTTTCACTGATGAAGCACTTTATAGAGATGTTTGAATCTGGCTCTTTTAGTCAGATCTTTTTTCTTCTTTTCATATTTAGCTGAATTTTCATTAAGAGAAGAAAAAGGCAAAGAACTATATCAAGACTTCTCTTTATTTGGCTGGCTTAGTACTGGTAGTGTCAGAGCTAGGGAAATATGCCATTGTGTAAGGTATAGAAGACAGGTTCTTTGTGTGTTTGTTTTTGTTTTTAGCCAATATGGTATATGATCTGGGACTAAAGTTGGAGAGATTGTAAGCTGATGATTCATTTGGATCTGGAAGACAAAAGAATAGATACTAGTAATAACTTAGTTGGTAGATCCATTGGATTTACATATTGTTGAGAAAGTGAACAGAATTTAGTAAAGCCAGAAAAGATCCTCTGTACTAAATTCGAAGATCAGAAACAATGACACCTTAATCTTGTTTCAAAGTTGCTTTTATTTCTGGGCTGTTGGAAACCTTTTACTCTTTCATCTGAAGATAATGTTCAAAAACTACCTTATCTGGATATTAAGTAGAGGACAAAGAGGGTACCATAGGTATAGTCCTATCTATTGTGGCTACTTTCTGGAATTCCTATACTGAAAGTCTGGTACAAGGTGAAAGGGATGACTTCCAATGTTAATGATAATTTTTAGTAGTCTTCTATGAGGACTAATAAGTTCATTACTGTGAATTATTTCCAAATTGATCTCTAATATTCTAATTCTCAAAAAGTAAAGGAAATTAAAATGGCCCCTCCCCCCAAATACACTAAATAACCTAACTAGACTCTATGGAAATTATCAGTAGAGTCTGTTTCTCTTTTATTCAGAATTGCATCTCCAGCATTATAACACAATGCCTCACACATAGTAGATGCTTCAATAACATTTGTTGAATGAGTAATTTTTTAATAATATTTGAGAAGTCAATGAATTTTTCAAGAACTTGTTTACTTGGAACTTATCTGTACAGTGAAATTCAGAAGAACTAGCTACATTCAGAAAGGGCTGGGGCTAAAGAATTCTGATCTCCATAGAGCCAACATATTATTTACTGGTCTTCCTTCATTTGTTGAGATTTCTGGAAACTAAGAGAATTGTAAAATAATGTATTAATCTCTCTTTGGGTTCCAGTTGTGCTTGTTCACATCTTTGATTTCAGGGATAAAGAAAAAGTGAAATACAAATGATTTATAAAAGCAGTGTCAACTTCTCAGACCTTCTCTTCATCAAATTAGCTTCCTGAAGTCAGTATTTGAATTCTCTGGCCTCTAATTGGTTATTCTATTGAACTTTGGTTAGCCTTCATGGTATCAAAATTAAATGAAATTTGCAAGATCTGAAAATCTTTGAATAAACTTTAAAATAGCCAAGCATGAATTTAGTTTCAAAATGTAATTCTGGATAGTGTGCACTCTCAGTTTTCCTCTTTGAAAACACATACATTCATTAATAATTGAAATATTTCCTTGACATTTACAATCTATTTTTTAACACTTCAAGAAAAGAAATGAAAATTTCAAACTTCTATCTAAGTTCATTTAAATCTAAACTATATTCAAACATCAGTTATTAAAATTACCGAAGCATATAAGCTAGTGTAATTTTAGAAATAATTTTTTAAAAATTGTGCTTTACTTATTCATGAGAGACACACAGAGAGAGGCAGAGACATAGGCAGAGGGAGAAGAAGGCTCCCTGCAAGGAGCCTGATGCGGGGTTCAATCCCAGGCCAAAGGCACATGCTCAACCTCTGAGGCACCCAGGCACCCAAGCTAGCATAATCTTTATAAATCTTCCTTAATCCTTAAATATGAATTCCTTGTAAATGAAGACTTTTAAAAAAAAAGTCAAAGTGTTCTGCCATATCCCACTACTTTTGTTCTTTATTTATTCTTGCTTTTCAGAGTAGATTGCTATATATTTTAAAGCTAGAAATCTGTTAGTTGTAATTCAGAGTTATTTTTATGTCTAATATGAATATTCTTAGCCAATAGTTTGGTTGAACATAGATTATTAAATTTAAACTCATTTTCCTTCTATTCTTTTGGTATCCAACACTGTTGTGAAAAAGTATGAAATCAGTATAGTTGTCATTCTTTTATCTGTAAACTTCTTTATTTTTTGTTTTTTAATTTTAAAATATTTTATTTATTTATTCATGAGAGACACAGAGAGGCAGAGACACAGGCAGAGGGAGAAGTAGGCTCCATGCAGGGAGCCCAATGTGGGACTTGATCCCAGGACTCCAAGATCACGCCCTGGGCCAAAGGCAGGCGCTAAACCACTGAGCCACCCAGGAATCCCCAATTCTTTATGTTTTTAAAGTAATTTCTATACCTAGCATGGAACTCTAACTCACCACCCAAAATCAAGAGTTGCATGCTCTACAGTGTTGCACATGGTAGTGCTAGATGACCAAGGAAACTTGCTGCAAATATTTATGCACTGAGCTGGTGCCACATAGAACACGGTGGTAATCTGGATGGCAATGTGAGTTAGAACTCAGGATCTTTATAATAATGATGCAAAGCTTCATAGTACTTGATGTTTAGCATGTGGGCTCACAACTTGTAAGTATGGAGCAGTGAAGCATATCTAGGCTCTAGACTGATAGTCACAGCCAGGCACAAAATATTGTTATTAAGGACTAGAAGCCACCTCTATTTGACATGGTCTAGGACCTTTCCCAGCCTGAACCTCCTCATTCACTGTCATTCACTGAACCTCCTCAGACGTGTACTCATCTTATAGATTCTCTGTCCTCATGATCACGGAATTGACTCAGCCATCTTCTTCTTCAATTCTCTGCTCCTGTTCAATGATGTTCAGTTGTGGAGGATGAACAGGGAACAACCTTCAGTGGACTACTGCTCATAATGCCATTTTTTGAGCCTTTGGGAGATGTCAACATCATTGGGACTTAGTTGCAGAACTATTAATGTGAGAGGTTTCTGACTGGAATGTCAGAGACAAATGGGTTCAGATTTCTGAAGTCAGTTGTCTCCAGCTAATATAGATTGTCTATGAGGAAGAGCTTTGATGAGAAATTCAACTTCTAAAACAATTGGCAGTTTATAAAAAATTAAAATTATGTTGTCTAAATATTGTCATTTTGAAGTGGGGTTTCTTTGTGCCTAAATTTTTTTATCTCTGGGGAAATGGATTTTTTTCATCTTAGATGTCTTATCCTATTCAAGCAGATTTAATCAGTAATCAAAACTTCCCATAAAGAAAGTTCCTGGATGAGAATTCTACTGAATGCTTAAAAAACTAACATCAGTCCTTCACAAATCCAATTATAAAAAGAGGAACAGGGGTCATTTCCCAATTCATTCTATGGGCTCTGTATTATCCTGATGCTAAAAACAAAGATAATACAAGTAAACTATATACCATATCCCTTATGAATATAGATGCAAAAATTATAAACAAAATAGCAAACTGACTCCAGCAACATATAGAAGGAATTATACAGCATGATCAAGTAGAATTTATCCCAGAAATTCAAAGTTGGTTTAAAATATGAAAACCAGGGGTGCCTGGGTGGCTCAGTGGTTGAGCATCTGCCTTCAGCTCAGGGCATGATCTCAGGGTCCTGGGATTGAGTCCCTCATCGAGCTCCCCTCAGGGAGCCTGCCTCTCTCTCTGCCTACATCTCTACCTCTCTCTCTGTGTCTCTCATGAATAAGTAAATAAAATCTTTAAAAACTAAAGTGTTGTTTTTAAAAAAATAAAATAAAATATGAAAATCGATTAGTATGATACACCTTATTAACAAAAAAGGAAAAATGATACAATCATCTCAATTTACACAGAAAAAGCACTTAACAGAATTCAACACCTTTCATGATAAAAACACTCAATAAACTAGGAAGAATAGGGAATGTCCTCAACTTGATAAAGGGCAATAATAAGAACCCAAACCCACAGCTAACTTCATATTTAATGGTAAAAGACTTTCTCCCAAAGATGAGGAACAAACAATGATGTTTCCTCCCACTACTTTATTTAATATTGTACTGGAAATCTAGCCAGGGCAATTAGGCAAGAAAAAGAAAATAAATCAGATTGGAAATTAAGAATTAAAAGTATTAAAAAAAGAATTAAAAGTATTTTTGTGGATGACATGATCTTGTATAAAGAACATCCTAAGGAGGGGCGCCTGAGTGGCTGGGTTGGTTGAATGTTCAACTCTTGATTTCAGCTCAGGTCATGCTCTCAGGGTCCTGGGATGGAGCCCCACATTGGCCTCCTGGCTCAGCGAGGAATCTGTTTCCTCTCTCTCTCTCTCTCTCTCTCTCTCTGTCCCTCTGGCCCTTTTCTACCCTCCTACCTCCCCATGCCCACTCTCTAAATAAATAAATAATCTTTAAAAATCAAATGTATTTCTTTTTTAAAAAAAGATTTTATTTATTTATTCATGAGAGAGAGAGAGAGAGAGAGAGAGAGAGAGAGAGAGAGAGAGAGACGCAGAGACACAGGCAGAGGGAAAAGCAGGCTCCATGCAGGGAGCCTGATGTAGGACTTGATCCAGGATCATGACCTGAGCCAAAGGCAGACACTTAACCGCTGAGCCACCCAGGTGTCCCTCAAATGTATTTCTATACATTAGCATTGGACAATTCAGAAAAGAAATTAAAACCATTTATGATAGCATCAAAAAGAATAAAATGCTTAGGAACAAATTTAACAAAATAAGTACAAGACTTTATACTGAGCACAAAAAAACATCATTGAGGGAAATTAAAGAAGACCTAAGTAAATGGAAAGTGTTCACTGATTGAAAGATTCAATATTATTGAGATGGTGATACCTCTCAAATTGGTCTACAGACTCAATGCAATCCCTATCAAAATCCCAGCTGGTTTTGTTTTGGGGTTTTGGTTTTGTTTTGTTTTTGCAGAAATTGGCAAATTGACCTTAAATTCATAAGAAAACGCAAGGGACCCAGAAGAGACAAAACAATCTTGAAAAAGAACAACAGAGTTGGAGGACTCATACTTCCTGAGTTTAAAGATGTATTATTAGTCAGACATTAGATATTTGAACATCCTGATACATTAAACATACCAATACTATCTTTTTATTTGCTATGTACTATAAGGAATTATTAGAAATTATCTTAGATTCTATCATGAATTTCTCAAGCCAAAATTGAATTATTCAGATATCTACTTTCTAAAGTCGCGTTTCAATAAATGTGATTTTGTTTATTTATTTGAGAGAGAGAGTGCACATGTGACTGTGAGGTGGGGAGGGGCAGAGGGAGAGAGAGAGGGAAAGAGAATCTTAAGCAGACTGCACACTCAGTGCAGAGCCCAATGTCAGGCTGGATCTCATGACCCTGAGATCATGACCTGAGTCAAAATCAAGAGTTAGTCACTTAACCAACTGAGCCACCCAGGCATCCCAATAAATGTGATTTTAAAAAATAACTTATAGGTTTAATTTGGAATTTTAACTGATATTATTTTGTTTTTACCAGTGAGCAGTATTGTTTGCTTTAAAGTTATTTCACTCAAATGGCCAGCCTGATATATCTAATTTATCTATCCAGTAGAAAAATCTCAAAAATTTATAAGACTTCCTAACAAAATTCATAAACCATCAATATTAACCAATTATTAATGTTAGCTTAATATTTTGAAATAATACTATTGATTATATATATTTATATTATTTATAGTATATATACTATATATAAGTGTGATTTAAGGAACTAAAAATACTAGTTAAAATCTAATTCCTATTTCACCAATTAATCTCTCTTAACAATTAATGTTTAATTTCTGCTCTACTCTCCCCCTTCAAGTTAAGAACAAAATAGCCCTCAAGTCATCATGAAGTTTAAAAAACATTCTCTCACTTTTTTTTAAACAAGTGAGAGTATTCAAAACTCCAGAGTATGGATTTTGCATTTTGAACTTTTGGTCTACTTGTGTTCAAATTCCTTTGAAATGATTTTGATCTTTCCTTCAAAGAAATTTGAAGTTCTTGCTTGTACTTTCCCAGGGAAGAATTAAAACTATTCCTTCTCTCTTTGTATATTCAACATAGAAAAAATGCTTCAAATGTCGTATTTCAGGTCTGATGAAATTTGTGTAAATTTTGTAGTATGAATCCTTCAGAATGGATAATGTAACCTTCCTGACTAGAATAGAATGGTTTTTCAGTGATCATCTTTGATATCATTAACTCCTCCTCTGTGCAGGTAAAATATAATAGATTTTTTTTCTAGGTTTAGCAATTTATTTGGGGGAATAATCTCTTAGGTCATCTTACTTGCTTTTAACTTTACACCTAATAACATTTCAAAAGATCTATACATAGATCTCTTTTTCTCCAATAATCAAAGCTACAGAGAATTCATTATATATATATAAATGTATATATTCATTATATATATAATATATATATATTTTTAAATATATATATATCACTCTTATTTTTTTTACCTTGACCTCAACAAAACACTATTAGTTTCTCTTCCAATTTCTAAGTTTTGTAACCACCTTAGGAAGACAGACCATTTTAAAGAATGTTTTAAAGAAATATAAAATATTACTTGCAAAGTTGAACACATATATCACCCATGATATCTCTGTAACCAAGGCAAGGCTGAAGAATGAATCTAAATTATCTAAAAAGTTGTTCGCTTCTCCAATCCCACTTATGTGAGTAAGAGAATACATTCTGGACCCACACTCTAACAGTTTGAATCCTAGCTCTGCCATTTCATATGGTGTTTGATTATGGGCAGGTTATTTAAACTCTCTGTGCCTCAATTTCTTTAAAAAATGTGGCTAATAAGAGTGCCTACTTCATAGGATGGTTGGGGATAAAATGAATTAATATGTGTAAATGCTTATAATATCTAGCATATAGAGGCACCTATGTGTTAATATTATCTAAATTTCACTTGCTTTGGATTGACAAAAGGAATGAAAAGAGATGATTTGCAACACTGTTTCAATGTTAACATATAGAAAGAAGTAAACAAAATATAGTTTGAGTTTTGTTCTGAACACTTTAACTTGAATCTAATTAGAGCTTGGTTATTATAAACAGTTGGCTTTTTGTTTTGCCCAAGATATTTGTTTTCCACTTATATCTAAAATAATATTCTTATCTTTTGCTCTTTTCAGTGTTTTATTATTTTTATTTCACTTAATGGCCCTATATATTGTATCTCCTCTGATTTGCCTTAATATGAAGGAATTCTAAAGTGTATTAATGTTATTATTACTGCCATTGCTATGTCTCTTATAGGAGTTAATAGAACCAGAATCAAAGTAAATTTAACTGAATCATACTTAGCATGTTCTCTGCGAATTCTGTTTATTTTCAGACATGTTAATGGCTGAATGTATGATCTGGCAATAATCTTCTTATATAAATAGAAACACGATCATTAGAGTGGATTAATTTATTTATTCATCTGATATTTGTGAATGACTACCATAATCTAAGCTCTTTCAAAAATATTTTTTCTAATACTTTCTGTCCCTCAGAGTCTAAGATTATTAACTGGCTTTAAAATAATTCATTCAACATGAACTATAAATTATTAAGTAATTAAATAAAATGGCAAGATATTTAAGGAGTGGAAACCCTGTATGTGCAAAGATAAATGGTACTCCACTCAATGTACTAATTGCAACCAAACCTGGTTAACTGAATCTCAGTCAAATTATTATATTGACAATCACAATAGCTGCACACTGCGCTGGAGTTTCATTTTATAAATAAGTCTCTTCTATTTATGATATATGAATAGACAAGGCCTGAGACCCCTTTGTTCACAGGTTAAAATGCTTTTTAAAAATTTTTATTTATTCATGAGAGAGAGAGAGAGAGAGAGAGAGACAGAGAGACAGAGAGAGAGGCAGAGACACAGGCAGAGGGAGGAGCAAGCTCCATGCAGGGAGTCTGATGTGGGATTCAATCCCAGGTCTCCAGGATGACGCCCTGGGCTGAAGGCAGCACTAAACCGCTGAGCCATAAAATGCTTTAAAATCAGGGCTTCTTATTTTCCCCCAAGTCAGCTGGTTGAAGAATATGGTATCTGGTATAAAAAGCATAAAAAGTGGTAAGAAGCAAACTTATTATAAAATATAGGTATCTATCTAACTAAATAGGCTTAAGCTTAAGGCCTTTATCTTAAAAAAATTATATTTACTCACTTAATTTTGTCTATATATTATTCTGATAATAGTCAAGTAATCAAGTCCTATAATCCTTTGAGCTTCAGTTTCCTTATCTGTAAAACCCCTTTGATCTCCTCCCCAGGTCTAAGAATCTGACTCTAATACTGTTTGATTTCCTTCTAAATTTAATGTGGGTTCACACTGTAAAAGGACTCATAACAAAGTGAAATGCTTCTTCATTCAACAATACTACTATTTGTGTAGCAGTATAGGAACACAGAAACTTCCCTTTGAAAAAATAGTCTCCTTGAGACCATGTGATACCAAACACCTTTAAAAACTTTTGCATCATCATAAATTCCTCACATACTTGGGAATAAACAAATATTAACTATTATGAATTATAATTTTATAAGGACTTATCTCACCTGGTTACATTATATAAAGGGGAAATGGAGTAAAGTCCCGCTGATTAGAGAGTGTGGGGAGACCAGGTTATCCTCTTGCTTTGTGCCTATAATTACTCTATCTTATGCAATATAATGAAGTAACCTTATAGATTATGCAATTTAATGGGATTAAAAAGTTTGTAAAAGTTCTATGCACTTTTAAAAATAGCTTACATTTGGACACTTCCAAAATATGCTTTGAGATGAGAATTTTAATTTCTCAGTCGAGACGCAGGGTGGCGCTGCAGGCTAAGACTGAATCAAGAGCCCTAAAAAGCTCGCGTATTCCTTTGTTGCAAAGAGAAAATATACACGCATGAAGCTTTGCCAGCGGTGCTGGATTACTAGCGAGTTTGGGCTGCGATACACTAAACGAATTTACGATTAAAGGCAACTTTGTGAGGACTCTACCAAACAAGAAATCAGAATTTAATACCTCCAGTCTTTTTCTGGCTCCCAGGAGGGATTGGATATAAAAGCACCAGGTCTCCAACATGGAGACACTAGAGAGAATTCAACCAAACAGGCAAGTGATGGCCTTTATTTTGATGGTGTTCTTGTCTCAGGCTCGCGCCGAGCCTATTCGTTATTCTGTGATGGAAGAAACAGAGAGTGGCTCCTTTGTAGCCCATCTGACAGAGGATCTGGGCCTGGGAATTGGGGAACTGGCAGCCAGGTCGGCCCGGGTGGTGTCTGACGATGACAAGCAGCGCTTGCAGCTGGATCGTCAGACTGGAGATTTGCTTTTGAGGGAGAAACTAGACCGGGAAGAGCTATGTGGCCCTGTTGAACCGTGTGTACTGCATTTCCAAGTATTTCTAGAAACTCCAGTTCAGTTTTTTGAAGGAGAATTATCAATCCAGGACGTAAATGACCACTCCCCGGTATTCCCGACTAGGGAAATGCTCTTGAAAATACCGGAAAACAGCCCGCCAGGGACTCTCTTTCCGTTGAAATTGGCTCAGGATTTGGATGTGGGCAGCAATGGTCTTCAAAAATACACGATCAGCCCCAACTCTCATTTTCATGTTCTAACCCGAAATCATAGTGAGGGCAAGAAATACCCAGATTTGGTGCAGGACAAAGCACTGGATCGAGAAGAGCAGCCTGAGTTCAGCTTAACCCTCATGGCACTGGATGGTGGGTCTCCACCTAGGTCTGGCACCACTGCAGTGAGAATCCTGATTATGGACGTCAATGACAATGCTCCAGAGTTTGTGCACTCCCCATATGAGGTGCAGGTCTTGGAAAACAGCCCCATAGACTCCCCAGTACTTAGTGTCTCGGCTAGAGATGCAGATGCTGGAAACTTCGGGAGTGTTTCCTATGGCTTGTTCCAAGCATCAGATGAAATTAAGCAAACTTTCTCAATAAATGAAGTCACAGGAGAAATCCGACTGACAAAGAAACTGGATTTTGAACAAATTAAATCTTACCACGTGGAAATTGAGGCTGTTGATGGAGGAGGCCTTTCTGGAAAAGGCACTGTAGTCATATATGTGGTGGATATGAATGACAACGCCCCTGAACTTACCATATCTTCAGTCACCAGCTCTATCCCAGAAAATGCTCCTGAGACTGTAGTGTCTGTCTTCAGAATTCGAGATAGAGACTCTGGAGACAATGGAAAGATGATTTGCTCTATTCCAGAAAATCTGCCTTTCCTTCTGAAACCGACTTTCAAGAATTTCTACACCCTGGTAACAGAGAGCCCCCTCGACAGAGAGAGCCAGGCGGAGTACAACATCACCATCACCGTCAGTGACTTGGGGACCCCCAGGCTGAAGACCCAGCACAACATCACCGTGACGGTCTCCGACGTCAACGACAACGCCCCCGCCTTCAGCCAGACCACCTACACCCTGCGCGTCCGCGAGAACAACAGCCCCGCCCTGCACATCGGCACCGTGAGCGCCACCGACAGGGACGCGGGCGCCAACGCCCAGGTCACCTACTCGCTGCTGCCGCCCCGGGACCCGCACCTGCCGCTCGCCTCGCTGGTGTCCATCAACGCGGACAACGGGCAGCTGTTCGCGCTCAGGTCCCTGGATTACGAGGCGCTGCAGGCCTTCGAGGTCCGCGTGGGCGCGGCCGACCGCGGCTCGCCCGCGCTGAGCAGCCAGGCGCTGGTGCGCGTGCTGGTGCTGGACGACAACGACAACGCGCCCTTCGTGCTGTACCCGCTGCAGAACGGCTCTGCGCCCTGCACCGAGCTGGTGCCGCGGGCGGCCGAGGCGGGCTACCTGGTGACCAAGGTGGTGGCGGTGGACGGCGACGCGGGCCAGAACGCCTGGCTGTCGTTCCAGCTGCTCAAGGCCACGGAGCCCGGGCTGTTCGGCGTGTGGGCGCACAACGGCGAGGTGCGCACGGCCCGGCTGCTGAGCGAGCGCGACGCGGTCAAGCACAGGCTGCTGGTGCTGGTCAAGGACAATGGCGAGCCGCCGCTGTCGGCCAGCGTCACGCTGCACGTGCTGCTGGTGGACGGCTTCTCGCAGCCCTACCTGCCGCTGCCGGACGTGGCGGCGGCCGAGGCCCGGGCCGACCCGCTCACCGTCTACCTGGTCATCGCCTTGGCGTCCGTGTCGTCGCTCTTCCTGTGCTCGGCGCTGGCGTTCGTGGCGGTGCGGCTGTGCAGGAGGAGCGGGGCGGCGTCGGGGGGTGGCTGCGCGGTGCCCGAGGGCCACTTTCCGGGCCACCTGGTGGACGTCAGCGGCGCGGGGACCCTGTCCCAGAGCTACCAGTATGACGTCTGTCTGACCGGAGTCCCTAGAACTGGTGAGTTCAAATTTCTGAAACCGCTATTTCCCAACCTCTTGATTGAGGACAGTGAGAGAGAAATTAAAGAAAACTCCAACTGCAGGAATAGCTTCGTATTCAGTTAAAGATTGTATCTGGTCAAGTCAGCCTCTCCTTAATTTTGGTAAACATCTCATTGCCATGCCTTTCTTTTAATAAATTTTGTTGTCTAAATATGTATATCTCTATTCCAAACTACGCATATCCCTGATTGTGCTAAAATTTCCTCCTTTAATATTCATTGGACTCGCATTTTCAGTTACACTGGTTATGGAGTATGTATATTCTCCATATTTGACCTTTTCTTAGTGATTAATCTTTCCATAACTATAATTACTCAAGTAGTGTAAGAAAAAACTTTATTTAAATCAACTTCTTAATGTCTTAAAGCTTTTATGTATTTGTGCATTTCTATATATTTGTAATGTTTGTCTTTATCTTCGGAGTGTTGGAAATTCTTTTAGCTTCCTAGGCCTTGTTGACTGTTCTCCAGGTTATGTCCCCGAAAACCCATGAGCATCTAACTTAATTGTTTCTCTGAAATTGTACATAAACATGCACTTTGATTAAAATATTAATACACTAAAATTGTGACTTCCTATTGTGAACACCATACATACTAGAATTTAAAAAAATTTTTTTTGATTGTTACTTACCTATCACCTTGTGTGTGTTCCATATATACTAATATTAGATTTTAAAAATTATTCTCAATTATAAGTAATAATTGAGAAAAATCCATAATTTGGCATCATGCTCACTAAACAAACCTAAGTCACTGCTTGGTAAGATACTTTAAAACAATTTCAGAACCTTAAATAAGCCTTAAATCCTTTCAAAGGATTCAAGATATGAAGGACATCATATACTTCCTTGTCCTTCATTTTGCCCAATAAATAGAAGTTCATGTGTAATTTAATGTATATGTTTCTTTTGGTTTTCTTTCAGCTTCCCTCCATCTTTCGAAAGGGTCAAAGAATTTCTTCTGAGTTTCAGTTATTCTTTTCAGGTCTATTCAAGGTTATTGGGTGATAGGAAATTTTCATTTTAAATTACTTTGCAGACATAAACATCCTTTATCAACAAAATAATGTTTTATTTTTGATGTCGAAGTTATCTTCTGTTCAATGTACTCCGAGGTATTTAATGTAAGCTTATCAATTCTGCTAAATTTTCATTTATAAGAAATAAGCATTATTTTGTCATTTTGGACAATAAGAATAGAAATAGGAATTAAATAAGAAGTAAACTTATAGGAAGTATAATTGTTTTACGTTGTATTCAATAAGCAAAGTCAGCTAATCATGTGGTTTCCAACTAAATTTATATGGATATAAGTGTAAAACCTCTTAGTTGAACTTTTGGCATAATGTGAGCGATTAAAGGGCTTGCTTTTTAATCTAAATATTTATTTTTAATCTGAAGGGTCATCCTACTAGAATTTAATTATTTATACTTATCCCTGAATTACTTTTTTTTCTTAAGGGTATAATGACATAAAAAGGAAAATTACTGGTTAAGTTATTCCTGAAACATAACCTTTAGCTTTCATCTAGCCTAAAAATTGAAATGAGAAAGTGATAAAAATGAGAACAAAATTAAACACAAGTACATATAGACATAAATATGGTAGTAAACTTTAATGACTACTCCATTTACTGGCTATTTAAATGAATAGCTTTTATGTATGGTGATGAGAAATGTGATTGAAGTTTTCACCAGTATATTTCAACATTATCAAAATCCAAGTTCCCTTTTTTCTATTTATGTCAGTAAAGTCCAATTTGTATAATTGCCCAAATGAGACTGGCCAAATAAACACCCAGAACCCACCTTTATGAATTTATGTGTAAATCTGTGAATTACTTTGTGTATTATTTTATGGATTACTGTGTGTATTCATAAAGCACAGATCATTCTTTACAATAATGCATGGATCATTCTGTATACCAGACTTTGGTGTAGGATGGATCAACATTTTGAAATCCAATGATTTTCTAAGTAAGATGATTTCAAAGATTTTTTTAGTAGTAAATGTGATCAAATAATTTCTGCAAATTGAATACCTTATGAAAAATAGGCCAATTCTATTGTTGCAAAAACAAAAATAAACAATGAAGGCCAAAGATCTTGATAATAATGCTCATTTCAATCCTATGTTTTCTCACATGCTTCTGTTATATGTGCATTTTTCCTGTTTTACTGAGAAATAATTGAAATACATACTGTGTAAATTTAAGGTGTACAGAATGATGCTTTGAACTAATTATATTGTGAAGTGACTACCACACACAATAGGTTCAGCTAATATCCTTCTTATATATATATCTTTTACAATTTCTTTATAGTTTTTTTGGCCACAGCGCACAGTAAGTTGAACATATGTTGTTTGGGGGCAGAAATTTTACTGAAGGCATTGTATAGGCCCACGTCACTTCAAAAACCCCCTCTTCCTTTACCACTGAAAATTACAAAATACAGATTTTAAACAATCTGAGGTTAAAAGTTATGTACTGGGCAGCCCTGGTGGCTCAGTGGTTTAGCGCCGCCTTCAGCCCAGGGCGTGATCCTGGAGACCTGGGATTGAGTCCCATGTCAGGCTCCCTGCATGGAGCCTGCTTCTCCCTCTGCCTATGTCTCTGCCTCTCACTCTTTCTGTGTGTCTCTCATGAATAAATAAATAAAATCTTAAAAAAACAAAATAAAAGTTATGTACTTATTTGGTGGAAGTCTGCTTCTAGGTAGAATGGATGGATTCTAACAGCATGGATTCTAACAGCAGAAACACACATAAAAACTTATTAAAATTCAGAAATTATCTGTTTGAAGCAACAGATAGCAGCTGATATAATAAGAATTCAAAAAGCCAAGATTTCTTGGGAGTTGTGAACTGACTTCTATAGTCAATTTGCCCTGCAGAAGTTTGCTAGCTCTTAGAACAGACAGAAGGCTCCTGCTAGGGCCAGAACAATGGCTAACTTCAGTAGCCATTGGCAGACTGGAAGATGAAAGCTCATGGCTACTTTTTCCCCTCCAAGACACTTGTCAAATTCAGGGGTATTCCAGGGAAGAAAACTAAAAGCCTAAGTAAAACATCTTTGAACAGCAGAGTCAGTTTTGATAGTCTTGATACATGAAGACTAGGGTTTAGAACCTGCCATGGTAAGAGACTGTGGAAAATACACTAAGTTCTCAACTGATCATTCTGGAGTGTTAGGTGCTTATCAGGACTGCAAAGCACCTTGACTATACATGGTGCCTGTTTGGATTAAGGAAATTTGATTAGACATGACTCTATCAAGTTAATGGAGGAAAAGGTGAACTCTTTGTGGAAGAAGATAATATCACCTAGATCCTGGACAGCTTTTTACATAGATATTCAGCATTCAATAAAAAAAAAAACTCCTAAGTACACATACAAAAAACTGGTTGACACATGAATAAAACCTGGAGAAGATAATAGACAATACAAATGACCCAAAGAAAAAATAGATACTAAAATTTACTGACAGTGATGTAAAATAAGTATGACTAATAAGTTACAAATAAGGAATAAAGAAAATAAATAAAAGATAATTTCACCAGAGAATTGAAATTAAAATGGAAATTAAATAGAACTGAAAAATATAATATCTGAAATTAAAAACTATTTAAATAGTTTATGACTTAGTAGACATAAAGGAACACAAGATTAGTGAAAGCAAGATAGGCCAATATAAAATATCCAAATAGAAGCATAGGAAAAAATGATGAAAAATACAGAAAAGAACATTAGTGACATGTGAGACATAATGAAAAATGAACACACATATGGTTGTAATCCTAAAAGGAGAGGCGATACTAGGAATAAAGAATAAGAAATGTTTGAATGACCAAGAATTTTCCAAAATTTGTGAAAATCCTTTACTATTCAAGATGCTTGAGGAAATCCAATCAAGAGAAATAAAATACAAAGTACATCTAGACATATCATAGGAAAGATGCTGAAGATCAGAGTCAAGGCGATGCTTATATTACCAGAAAATATATCCTTCAAAAATAAGGTTTTCAAACAAATAAAAACCAAGAGAATTAATCACAATCACATCTGCACTAAAAGAAATACTTTCAGTAGAATTCATTGGGCAGAGGGAAAAGTCCTAAAGGAATCAGACTTGCAGCAAGAAATGAAGAGGGTAAATATAGATTAATAGTAACCATACAAGGCAAAAATAGTAGTTTCTTAAAGGATTTAAAATATATACAAAATTTAAATTCATGACAATAATTGAAAACGAAGATGGTATAGATACAGTTAGTGAGGTGTTTTTTTTTTAAGATTTTATTTATGTATTCAAGAGAGACAGAGAGAGAGAGAGAGAGGCAGAGACACAGGCAGAGGGAGAAGCAGGCTCCATGCAGGGAGTCCAATGTGGGACTCGATCCCAGGTCTCCAGGATCAGGCCCTGGGCTGAAGGCGGCGCTAAACCACTGAGCCACCCAGGCTGCCCAGTGAGGTTTTTTAAATAAAGATATTATTTATTTATTTGAGAGAGAGAGCATGAGCAGTGGGAGGGGCAGAGGGAGAAGCAGACTCCCTGCTGAGCGAGGAGCTCAATGCAGGCTCCCAGGATCTTGACCTGAGCTGAAGGAAGACGCTTAACTGACTGAGCCACTCAGTTGCCCCTGGTTAATGAGTTCTAAGCATTATTATGGAAGTTGTAAAATTTAAAATATTTGTATTAGACTCTTATAGATCAAAGATTCATGTTTAATCTGTAGGATAATATTACTACAAGATTAACTAAAAAACTAACTGAAGGAAAATGAAAAATAATAAATGTCTGAATAATCCAAAAAAGAATGAAAGTTTACGGACAAATAGAAAAAAAGATGGTAAATATAAATGGAGAATTATCAAATATTACAGTAATTGTGATTAGATTAAGTAATAATCACATTAAGCAACCAAAAATTCTCACACTAGGTTTAAGAAAAGTTCAACTATTATATATGCTGTCATAATAATGTGTGTTTGTGTGAGATAGAATAAAAAGATTGAGAGCTAAAAAAATAAGGACACCCGGGTAACTCATTTGGTTAAATGTCTGCCTTCAACTCAGGTCATGATCTCAGGGTCCTGGGATCGAGCCCCACATTGGGCTTTCTGTTTAGTGGCAAGTCTGCTTCTCCCTCTTCCTCTCCCTCTATGATCTCTCTCAAGCAAATAAAATATTTTTTCTTTCAAAAATTTTCAGCTTTATTGAGATATATCATTGACATTGTGTAAGTTGAAGGTACACACAGTGATGATTTGACACACATAGATGTTGAGAAATAATGACCACAATGAAGTTCCTCAACACGTCCATTATGTTACATAATTTCTCGGATTTTTTTTCTGGTGAGAATATTTAAGTATCTGATACAGTATTAACTGTTGTCACCATGCTGTGCATTGGATCCCCAGAACTCATTCATCTTAAAACTGGAAATTTGTACCCGACCAACATCTCCCCATTTATCCACCTCATTCTACTCTCTGTTTCTACTTTTTCAGCTTCGACATATAAGAGATACCATACAGTTCTTGTCTTATTTATCTCACTTAGCATGATGCCCTCAAAATCCATCCACATTGTCACAAATGTCAGTCTCCTTCTTTATCATGGCTGAATAATATTCTCTTGTATACCATATCTTTAATTTAAACATATTTTATTTATTTATTCATGAGAGACACAGAGAGAGGCAGAGACACAGGCAGAGGGAGAAGCAGGCTCCTTTTAGGGAACCTAAAGTGGGACTCCATCCCAGGACCCTGGGATCATAACCTGAGCCAAAGGCAGATGCTCAACCACTGAGCCACCCAGGTGTCTCTAAAATAGAGAAAGCACAGAGAAAGGAATTGATATTGGTACAAAAATATCCCGTTGGAAAGAAAGGGAAGATGGAGATCCCAGTGTCAGTGCTGGGGAAATGGTTTGAGGGCAGGATTTTTAGGTTTCAGGTTGTGTTGATTAAATAAAATATTTAAAAAAAGAAAGTTAAAAAAACAGGAAAATATATAATGCAGACATAACCAAAATAAACCTAGTGTAGCTGTACTCATATAGAACGAAGGAAACCTTGAGGAAAGATGCATTATAGGCAGAGAAAAAGAGATGTTTCATAATGATAAAGAAGTAAATCTACCAGCATTTTGTTAGTTCTAAGACTGAATATATGCCCATATGATACAAAATATTTAAGTTAAACTGAGAGAATATAAATAGATAAATCCAATCATAGTAGACTTACTATAACTCTTGATTCCTGATAGAATAAGAAGACATATATACACAAACATACAAACACCAAGAATATTAAAAATCTGAACAACACAATAATCATATTGGAATAGTGACATACACAGCACACTGGAGAATACACATTATTTTTATGTGCATATGAACTATATCAAAATTATCCATATTCTAGGTAAAAAACAAGCCTCACAAATTTTAAGAGAATTGAAATGACTCAGAATATGCTTTTTGACAGTGGAATTTAGACAGAATTAAAAATATAACAAGGAGGCACCTTGATGGCTCAATCAGTTAAGTGTCCAAGTCTTGATCTCAGCTCAGGTCTTGATCTCACAGTGGTGAGTTCAAGCCCTGTGTTGGGCTCCACACTGGAGTGGAGCCTACTTGAAGTAAAATGAAATGAAATTAAAAATAAAAATATAAAAAAATAAAAAAATAACAAGAAATGCCCAAATACTACAAAAGGAAATAATATAATACATGGGTCAAAGAAAATATCATAGCAGAAATTTCCATATATTTTGAACTGGGTAAAAATTAAGATTTGCTACATAAAAACAGGACTTAGAAGGAAATTTAAAACCTTTAAATCTACATGTTAAGAAAGATTAAAAATAAATAATCCAAGATTCCTCTGAAGAGGCTAGAAAAAGAACAAATCAAATAAAAATAAAGAAGGAAAAAACATATATATAAACAAATAGATGACAAAAATACAATACAGAAAATCAGTAAAATAAAAAGTTGCCTCTTTGTAATGATTCATAAAAATAAAAAATTCATAATGGGGTGCCTGGGTGGCTCACTTGGTTAAAGATCAGATTCTTGGTTTTGGTTCAGGTCATGATCTCAGGGTCCTGGGATCCAGCTTCACCACATCAGGCTTGTGCTTAGCCCCAAGTCTGCTTCAGATTCTTTCTCTCTCTCTCTCTCTCTCTCCCTCCCCACTACAACTGCCCTCTCTCTATCTCTCTCTCAAATAAATATATAACATCTTTAAAAGAAAACCTCTTAGTAAAGCTAATCAAGAAGGAAAAAAACACCAATTACCAATATCAAGAATAAAAAAGGAACATCACTACCAATCCCACAGATATTAAAAAAATAAAAAGGGATATGATAAACAACTTTGTGCCAATAAATCTGACAATTTATGTAAAATGGAAAACATCTTTGAAAAACACAATATACTAAAACTGAAGCAAGAAGAAATATAAAATCTGATTAGGCATATCTATTAAGTAAATTAAACTTGTTATTAAAGAAACCTTGCCACTCCAATACACACTAGTGAATTCTTCCAAAATACTTATAGAAAAACTAACACCACTTTGCAGACTCTTTCAGACAATAGAAAAATAGGAAATATTTCCCAAGTCATTTGGGTGCCAGCA